TCAGCCAGTTTTAAATCTATGGGCCAAATATCCCCTCCCCTTCCGAAATTAAAAAAATGGGAGCACCTGCGAATTCATGATTTGTCCAAATGATCATTGACGAAAAATCAGCGTACCGGAAAAAAGTTCCTCGTTAGTCGTCGCATCCCAAATTCTGTCAACAGAAGCTACTGCCATTTATGTTACGTGCATCTGTCCACGAGCGATTACTGTTGCATCAGTAGTTTAGCACCAAGTAATTACATGCAATAAGAAAATAAATTAGACAATGGTTGTGTCACATGGGATGGCTAACACATTATACCATTAGTGTAAACAAGCATTGTGGTTCATCAAGCTCAGTTTATCCATAAATTAATCAATAATCAATTAAAGAGAGATTTGTGAGTTGCTCCCATTGATCTATGTATAGGTAGTTACATGTGCTAGTGTGTGTGTGTGTGTGTGTGTATGTGCGTGTGTATTTGTGTGCATGCTTGCGTGTGTGTGTGTGTTTGATGGAGGTGCCTGTGACGTGTGAAGACTGACGGGCTGGTGATGAAACAGCCTGAGTAGAGGAGGCTGATGAATAAGGGCCATGGTTTCTCAGCTCATTAACTTTGATTGGCTCAACCACACACTCCACGAGCACACACTCCAAAGGAAATGAACATGGCAGTGGGACTGACGTGACCATTCACTGGAATCAAATGTGGGCTTGGAGCAAAAAGCCAGGCTGCTTTTTCAAGGCTTTCTGTGTGTGTGTATGTGTGTATGTGTGTGTGTATGTGTGTGTGTATGTGTGCGTGCGGCGTGCGTGCCAGCATGCGTGAGTGTGTGAGTCCGTGCATGTGTGCGCTTTGAGCAAAAAGCCCTGCCTGACATCTGCCATCAGATTGGTTAATGAAGTGTGTTCCTTCCTGCCTGCCTTTGCCCTGGTTGGCAGTTTGACAAAGCCAAGGAGCAGAGCTGCTACGGGAGCATTCCCCTCCTCCCCTCCACTTCCCAGCATGCAGAAGAAAGTATGGAGGAAGGAGACGACTGTGTCTCTGCCCGATCCCACTCTCCTGTCAGGGCCAGACGGGTGGCAGGCCGCCTTACACTGTCAGCTGTTTCACTCTTTTAATTGTTGCCATCCTCAATCTCTCCCCTTCTCTTCTGAAAGCTAGTTAGCTCCGGCATTTAGCCTACCATTGAAATAACAGATATATTAGAGTGGAAATTCTTATCCCATTTCTATGTTATGACTGTAATTTCCAAGTGTCTCACTGTGGCTCCCTCTGGTTCACCCGCTCCATCAATATTTTTGAAGACCAAGAAGAAGTTCCGAGAAATTACAATGCTGGAATACAGGGTTGTTGTTTTTTCCTTTCCTCTTCAGTTGGACCTAATCGTTTTCAGCATGTTGTCTCTCCTATTTCTCCCACTGATTGCCCTTTGCATGCCCTCTCGCTAGAAGTATGACTCCCGAGTGGCGCAGTGGTCTAAGGCATTGCATCGCAATGCTAGCTGTGCCACTAGAGATCCTGGTTCGAGTCCAGTCTCTGTCGCAACCGGGAGACCCATGGGCGGTGTACAATTGGTCCAAGGTAGGGGAGGGTTAGGCCGGCAGCGCTGTGGGTTCGTTTCCCACGGGGGGCCAGTATGAAAAAAAAAAAATGAAAAAAAAAACTATGCATTCACTAACTGTAACTCGCTTTGGATAAGAGTGTCTGCTAAATGATGTAAATGTAAAGTATACTCTCAGTAAATTCTGATTGCACCAAACTCCAGTGGTAGAAAAAGTATCCAATTGTCATACTTGAGTAAAAGTAAGATGCCTAAATAGAAAATGACTCAAGTGAAAGTCACCCAGTAGAATACTACTTGAGTAATAGTCTAAAAGCATTTGGCTTTAAATATTCTTAACTATCAAAAGTAAAAGAAAGAGTATAAGTAACTTCATTTTACTTATATTATATCTTGTTTTACTATTTTACAAATAGCAAGGGGCACACTCCAACAATCAGACATCATTTAAAAAACGAAGCATTTGTGTTTAGTGAGTCCGCCAGATCAGAGGCAGTAGGGATGACAAGGGATGTTCTCTTGATGTAGTGGAGTAAAAGTAAAAGTTGTCAAAAATATAAAGAGTAAAGTAAAGTACAGATACCCCCATAAACTACTCAGGTAATACTTTAAAGTATTTTTGCACCACTGCAGAAGTCCCCCCAATTCTCGTCTCTGCTCGCTTCCTCTCTACATCATTAGTTAGTGCTTTACTGGCCCCAGCTGCCCAGCTACAGAAGAGAGAGAGAGAGAGAGAGAGGGGGGAGAGAAGAGAGGAGAGAGGGAGAGAGGATGGTAGGCGAGAGATGCGAGCTAGAGAGATGAGAGAGAGAGAGAGACGAGAGAATAGAGAAGAGTAGAGAGAGAAAGAGAAGAGAGAGAAGACGAGAGAGAGACAGAAGAGAGGAGGGAGAGAGAGTAGAGAGAGGGAGGAATCGGGAAGAGAGAGCGAGGAGGAGAGAGAGAAGAGAGGAGAGAGGAGACGAGACCGGAGAGAGAAGAAGGAGAGGAGAAGAGAAGAGAGAGAGAGGAGAGAAGATGGGAGGGAGATTTTGAGAGAGAGAGAGCAGAGATCTTGAGAACAGAGAGAGAGAACAGAGAGAGAGAACAGATAGAGAGAGATTGGTTACAACAGAGAGATAAATATTTTTTGTTAAGTCTCTGTGCTAATGCGTTGGGTTACTGAGGCGTGTAAAATAAATTTCCCCATTAATCCTGAACAGAAAATAAGTGTGAGATGATAAGAACTAGCAACAGCACTAAACCAGGGTCTATTGGCCACACAGTCTGTTTGGTTAATTGGCCCATCGCACTGCAGACAGTGGTCTCTGGGCATGGCCCACCCTGACTGACCTTGGACAGAAGGTGCTTGCATTGCATCTCCTCTACACCATGGGTCTATGAGATGACAGAAAACTAGATAAATAATTGGGCGAGTATATGAACTTAAACCAAAGGGGTCTAAATAATGAATCACTGAACAGTAACGTCTCTACCAATAAGCTTGGAAAGTGGATATGTCAAAAACACCATTACTGGAGGCATGACACAGTGTTACGGTTTCTAGCAAAAAGAGAAGGTGGGGTAGATAATGAATTGTTAATATGTGCTCTGTTTCACCCCCCAGTTAGCAGTAAAAAAATATATATAAATATATTTACAGTAAGTAAGCCCTGTCCCTATATTTTTTTGCTAGTTACCATAACATTGCTTCATGCCTCCAAAAGTGAGTATGTGGTGCCAATCATGTTTACATTTCAGGGGACCTTCTGGGCCACCTCAATAATGTTTACATTTCAGGGGACTTTCTGGGACACCTCAATAATGTTTACATTTCAGTGGACCTTCTGGGACACCTCAATAATGTTTACATGTTGCTGATTGTGACTGGGCTTCATTAACTTCATGACTTCTTTAGACCTGGGTTATTAGAGCAGAAAAGTGGCTATGTTGCGGTCATGTTCAGGAGTGCGTTACTTGCCTTTCTGAAATGACACTTTGTCATTCCTCTCTTGCTGTCGGCTCAGTCGGAATGAACACTAACTGAAAAAGTATAATCTAATCAATGGAAGTGGAGTGATAGAGCAGTGTTCTAAGTGGATTTGGTGCTCCTGTGTAGCCTAAGTCAGCAGAATGAGAACAGAGGCCAGAATGGAATTGTTTGGTTACTGATAAGAGATGCAGACTCATTGGAAGACAAGTGGATACAAGCCCCCACTCATGTTAAAGTGCTTTACCTGATTTGACGAATTTAAAATCGGAGAAGTAATTTACATTTGACATATGCCATGCCGGAATCTTGGTTTAGCAAGTGCATTCTAGAAACAAATCAATGGTTTTACACAAAGAAATCCAGCATTATTCCCCCATGAAACTAAAGGACTGGGCAAGAGTGGTACAAGAGTGATAAAGTACTTTATATCATGATTTCAAAATGGGGGGACTGAGTGTGCTTGATGTTTCCACTCTGTTATAACCATCTAAGTGGATTATTCACAAGCCTATTCTTGTATAACGCTGGAATCATTGACATTGAACACACACTAGCTTAGTCTATACTATACTGTTGATAATCAACGGGATTACTACATACAACAACTACATACAATAGAGTAATATTCAGATAACATAGAAATCACCATCATCTCATTTTAATTGTGTCACTGGCTGGAAGTGAGGGAGGGAACATTTGGGTCAAATGAACAAAGGAGTAAATAAAGGAAAACAAAAAAAGGGGAGAAAAATACAGAAAAAGGGTCAGTCACAACAACACTGTACCCAAAGGGCCCTTTTTAACAGAGAATTGTCTTCTTCCTAAATGTTACCCCATTCCCTATATAGTGCACTACATTTGAGCAGAGCCCTACGGGCTCTGGTAAAAAAAAAAGTAGTGCACTAAATAGAGAATAGGGTGCCATTTGGGACGCAAACTGTCCCTTCAATTGAAGCTTTGTGCTACTTGCAATAAACAGTCATGCAACCCTATTAGTGTTCAGTGTATGGTTGTGAGTGTGCATGTGTGCGTGCGTGCAAATCGGTGTGTGTGTGTGTGTACATATGGGTGAGTGTGTGTGTGTGTGTGTGTACATCCAAAGTAATAACATGCACATCCAACATAATAACAGGAGCTGGACAACAAGAAAATGTCTATGCATTGGATCTGCTAGGCTTTTCTCTCCCATAGGCGTGTCAGAGACCAACCATTTCCAGGTCACTTCACTTTTCCCTGCTTACATTCACTTCAACTCATTGTTAGCATGGTTCCGGATCAGTCTGACAAACAATGACAAGCAAAACTAGATCTAGTACCAGCCTAGCTGTTTGTAGCAATGTAAAAAAATGGTGTGAAATACAGTGGCAGCATGAAGCAGAGAGAGGTAGAAGAAAGAGGCACAAGAGAACAGAGAGAGGCAGAAAGGTATATACAGCAGATAGAGAGATAGCTGATAGAGGTGGACTATAGGGGAAGGTAGTTAATAGAGGTGGGCTATAGGGGAAGATAGATGATAGAGGTGGACTATAGGGCAAGGTAGATGATAGAGGTGGACTATAGGGCAAGGTAGATGATAGAGGTGGACTATAGGGCAAGGTAGATGATAGAGGTGGACTATAGGGCAATGTAGGTGATAGAGGTGGACTATAGGGGAAGGTAGATGATAGAGGTGGACTATAGGGGAAGGCATATGATAGAGGTGGACTATAGAGGAAGGTAGGTGATAGAGGTGGACTCTAGGGGAAGGTAGATGATAGAGGTGGACTATAGGGGAAGGCATATGATAGAGGTGTACTATAGAGGAAGGTAGGTGATAGAGGTGGACTGTAGGGGAAGGTAGATGATAGAGGTGGACTATAGGGGAAGGTAGATGATAGAGGTGGACTATACGAGAAGGTAGATGATAGAGCTGGACTATAGGGGAAGGTATGGGAGCTATAGTACCCAGGTGTGAGCTTACAAGATGCGTACAGTGGAAAAATAGAGCCTGCCTAGAGCGGGGTGAGATTTTTCCTCTGACGTGTGCGTATAAAAAGATTGTACGACCATTTTGTTGCAGAGCGCTCTCAATGAATAAACATGCTGACCATTGCAGAATTGGGTCTTTGATTAATTTATTCAAACTAAGAGATTTACAACCTTTTGGGAATTATTCAAAGATTTAAGAAGTAGTTGACTTCAACCATTGAGATAACAAAATTATTGTGACAGTAGATGATAATGGTGGACTATAGGGCAAGGTAGATGATAGAGGTGGCTATAGGGGAAGGTAGTTTATAGAGGTGAACTATAGGGGAAAGCAGATGATGGAGTTGGACATTAGGGGAAGGTAGATGATAAAGCTGGAATATAGGGGAAGGTAGATGATAGAGGTGGACTACAGGGGAAGATAGATGATAGAGGTGGACTGTAGGGGAAGGTAGATGATAGAGGTGGACTATAGGGGAAGGTAGATGATAGAGGTGGACTGTAGGGGAAGGTAAATGATAGAGGTTGACTAAAGAGGAAGGTAGATGATAGAGGTGGACTATACGGGAAGGTAGATGATAAAGCTGGACAATAGGGGAAGGTATATGATAGAGGTGGACTATAGGGGAAGGTAGATGATAGAGGTGGACTGTGGGGGATAGCAGATGATAGAGGTGGACTATAGGGAAAGGTATATGATGGAGTTGGACATCACAGGGATGGTAGATGATAGAGCTGGACAATAGGGGAAGGTAGTTCATAGAGGTGGACTGTAGGGGAAGGTAGATGATAGAGGTGGTCTATAGGGAAAGGTAGATGATAGAGGTGGACTATAGGGAAAGGTAGTTTATAGAGGTGAACTATTGGGGTAGGTAGATGATAGAGGTGGACTATAGGGGAAAGCAGATGATGGAGTTGGACATTAGGGGAAGGTAGATGATAAAGCTGGAATATAGGGGAAGGTAGACGATAGAGGTGGACTACAGGGGAAGATAGATGATAAAGGTGGACTATAGGGAAAGGTAGTTTATAGAGCTGGACTATAGGGCAAGGTAGATGATAGAGGTGGACTATAGCTTAAGGTAAATGATAGAGATGGGCTATAGGGCATGGTAGATGATAGAGGTGGTCTATAGGGCAAGGTAGATGATAGAGGTGGACTACATGGGAAGGTAGATGATGGAGGTGGACTATAGGGCAAGGTATAGAATAGAGATGGACTGTAGGGGAAGGTAGATGATAGAGGTGGAGTATAGGGGAAGGTAGATGATAGAAGTTTACTATATGGGAAGGCAGATGATAGAGGTGTACTCTAGGGCAAGGTAGATGATAGAGGTGGACTACAGGGGAATGTACATGATAGAGCTGGACTATAGGGGAAGGTAGATCATATAGGTGGACTCTATGGGAAGGTAGATTATAGAGGTGGACTATAGAGGAAGGTAAATGATAGAGGTGGACTATAGGGGAAGGTAAATGATAGAGGTGGACACTAGGGGAAGGTAGATGATAGAGGTGGACTATAGGGCAAGGTATATGATAGCGGTGGAATATAGGGCAAGGTAGATGATGGAGTTGGACTTTAGGGGAAGGTTTATGATAGAGCTGGACTATAGGGGAAGGTAGATCATAGAGGTGGACTCTAGGGGAATGGAGTTGATAGAGGTGGACTATAGGACAAGGTAGATGATAGAGATGGACTCTAGGGCATGGTAGATGGTAGAGGTGGACAGTAGGGTAAGGTAGATGAAAGAGGTGGACTATAGGGGAAAGTAGATTGTAGAAGTGGACTATAAGGCAAGGTAGATGATAGAGGTGGACTATAGGGCAAGGTAGATAATAGAGGTAGACTATTGGGGTAGGTAGATGATAGAGGTGGAGTAAGGGGAAAAGGAGATGATAGAGGTGACTGTAGGGAAGGTAAAATGGACTTTGTCAAGGTAGGTGAGGGAATGGGCCGGAGGATAGAGTTGGTAGGAAAGGGTTTGAAGGCCAAGGGTTGTGTGGGTTGATTAGGGGGGAGATATGAAAAATAAAAAAATTAGTATTATGATTTAAGGAAATGTAAGTTGGGCTTGGATAAAGAGGTTTGGAATATAAAATGACTTAAAATGTAAGTAAATGTAATGATCGAGTGGACTATGGGGGAAAGGTAGATTAGAGGTGGACTTTGGGAAGGTGTATGATAGAGGCGGACTATAGTAAATTTAAATGATAGAAGGTGGGCTATAGGGCAAGGGTAGATGATAGAGGTGACATAGGGAGGAGATGAAAAGAGGTGGACTAGGGGAAAGGTAGATATAGAGGTGGACTATGGGAAAGGTAGATGATGGAGTGGACTTAGGGGAAGGTAATGATAGATGGACTATAGGGGAAGGTAATGATAAAATTTGACTATAGGGGAAGGGGGATGATAGAGGTGAACTATGGTAAGGTAGATATAGGGGGGAACTATAGGGCAAGGTGGGTGATCGATGGTGGACTTAAAGGGGAAGGTAGATGGATAGAGGTAGACTATAGGGGAAGGGTAGATGTGAAGAGGTGGACTATAGGGAGGGTAGATGATGAGTGACCATAGGGGGAAGGTTTTATGAAATAGAGATGGGACTATAGGGGAAGGTAGATCATAGAGGTGGACATTAGGGAAGGTAGATGATAGAGGCGGACTATATGGCAAGGTATATGATAGAGGTGGACTATAGGGCAAGGTAGATGATAGGGGGACTATAGGCAAGGTAGATGTGGAGGTTGGACATAGGGAAGGTTTAGATAGAGTGGGACTATAGGGAAGGTAATCATAGAGGTGGACTGTAGGGAATGGAATTATAGAGGTGGACTATAGGAAAGGGTAGATGATAGAGGTGGACTGTAGGGTAAGGGAAATGAAAGAGGTGGACTATAGGGGAAAGTAATTTTGAAGGACAAAGCAGGTTGATGAGGGGGATACGGGGATAGGTGATAGAATAATAAAGGTGTGACTATAGGGAATTGCAATAGGGGATAAGGTGGGGAATTGATACATATGAAGGTAGATGATAGAGGTGGACTTAGGGGAAGGTAGATGATAGGGTGGTAGGGGAAAGGGAGATTAGAGGGTTAGAGCATAGGGTTTTAAGGCAGGTGTTAGGGTGGCTATAGGGAAGAAAGTGATAGAGGGAAAGGGGCAGGATATTAAGGTGGACAAAGGGAGGTAGTGATGAGGGGACTTAGGGGAAGGTAATATAGGGGTGGATTGGGGGAAAGGGGTTGATGAAAGGACTATAGGGAATATGATGAGGTTGGATTGGGGCGAGATAGGGGTGGCTATAGGGAAAGTGATGAAGAGTGACTAAAGGGGTAGTGTATGAAGGTGACTCAGGGAAGGTAATATAGAGGTGGACTAGGGCGGTAATGATGAAATTGTAATTAGGGAAGGTAGATGATAGAGCTGGACTATGGGGGAAGGTGAATAGAGGTGGACATTAGGGAAATAGTTTATAGAGGCGGGACTATAGGCAAGTAGATGATAGAGGTGGACTATGGGGCAAGGTAGATATAGAGGTGGACATTGGGGTGTAGATGATAGAGGTGGACTTTTAGGGGAAGGTGGGGGATAGAGGGGACTAAGGGGAGGTAATGATGGGAGGTGGACTTAGGGGAAAGGAGATGATAGAGTTGGACTATGGGGGAAGGTAATGATAGAGGTACTGTAGGGTAAAAGAAAAGAAGAGGTGGACTATAGGGGAAAAGGTAGATTTTAAATGGATTTAAAAGGCAAGGTTTAGATGATAGAGGTGGACATTGGAAGTGCAAGGTAGGGGAACAGGGAGGTAATGATGGGTTTGGCTAGGGGGTAGATGATAGGGGGTGGGATAAAAGGGAATGTAGATGATAGAGGGGGACTAGGAAGGTAGTGATAGGGGTGGAACTTAGGGAAGGTAGATGATAGAGGTGGACTTTCAGGGGAAAGGTAGATGATAGAGGTGGACTTTGGAAGGAGATAGATGATAGAGTGGACGTAGGGCAAGTATGAATAAGTGGACACTAGGGCAAGGTAGATGATAGAGGTGGGATATAGGAATTCGTAATGAATAGAGGTGGACTATAGGGGAGGTAGATATAGAGGTGGACTATAGGGAAGGTAGATGTTTAGAGGTGGATACAAGGGAAGTGATGATAGGGGACTAAGGGGAGTAGATGATAGAGGTTGACTATGGGCAAGGTGGGAGATAGAGGTGACTATAGGGCAAGGTAGTAAAGAGGTGACTATGGGAGGTAGATGATAGAGGGGACTATAGGGGAAGGTAGTGATGGGATTTGGACTTAAGGGGAAAGGGTTTCATGATAGGGGTTTACTATAGGGAAGGTAGATGAAGAGGTGGACTTAGGGAGGTAGATGATAGAGTGGTACTATAGGGGAAGGTAGATGATAGAGGTGGACTATAAGGAAGGTAGATGATAGAGGTGGATATAGGGGAAGGTGATCATTAGGGAGGTAGAGAGTGGACTATAGGGGATTTAAGATATAGAGGTGGACTTAGGGGAAGGTGGAATGATTGGCCAGCGTGGTCAAGGTAGGGAGGATGAATGGACTAGGCAGGGGTAAGCTCAGTTGGATAGAGCATGTGTGTTGCAACGGGGTAGTGTAGTGGATCAGAGGTGGGCCAGTAGAAAGTAGATATAGAGGTGACTCTACGGGAAGGTGGATAAGTCTGTAAGGCTAATAGGTAAGTAATGATAGAGGGTTGGACTATAGGGAAGGTAGATGATAGAGGTGGACTCTAGGGGAAGGTAGATGATAGAGGTGGACTTGGGTAAGAGGGAGGTAGGATGATAGAGGTGGACTATAGGGCAAGGTAGATGATGGAGTTGGACATTAGGGGAAGGTATATGATAGAGCTGGACTATAGGGGAAGGTAGATGATAGAAGTTGACTATAGGGGAAGGCAGATGATAGAGGTGTACTATAGGTCAAGGTAGATGATAGAGGTGGACTATAGGGCAAGGTAGATGATAGATGTCGACTAAAGGGGAAGGTAGATGATGGAGTTGGACATTAGGGGAAGGTATATGATAGAGCTGGACTATAGGGGAAGGTAGATCATAGAGGTGGACATTAGGGGAAGGTAGATGATAGAGGCGGACTATAGGGCAAGGTAGATGATAGAGGTGGACTATAGGGCAAGGTAGATGATAGCGGTGGACTATAGGGTAGGGTAGATGATGGAGTTGGACATTAGGGGAAGGTTTATGATAGAGCTGGACTATAGGGGAAGGTAGATCATAGAGGTGGACTGTAGGGGAATGGAGATGATAGAGGTGGACTATAGGGCAAGGTATATGATAGAGGTGGACTGTAGGGTAAGAAAGATGAAAGAGGTGGACTATAGGGGAAAGTAGATTTTAGAAGTGGACTATAAGGTAAGGTAGATGATAGAGGTGGAGTATAGGGGAAGGAATAGAATAGAGATGGACTATACTGGAAGGTATATGATAGAGGTGGACTATAGGGGAATGCAGATGATAGAGGTGGACTGTAGGGGAAGGCAGATGTTAGAGGTGGACATTAGGGGAAGGTAGATGATAGAGCTGGAATATAGACGAAGGTAGATCATAGAGGTGGACATAGTGCAAGGTAGGTGATAGTGGTGGACTGTAGGGGAAGGAAGATGGGGCGGCGCACAATTGGCCCAGCGTTGTCCAAGGTAGGGGAGGGAATGGCCGGCAGGGATGTAGCTCAGTTGGTAGAGCTTGGTGTTTGCAACGCCAGGGTTGTGTGTTTGATTCCCACGGTGGGGCCAGTATGAAAAATAAAAAAATAATGTATGCACTCACTCATAAGAGTGTCTGCTAAATGACTAAAATGTAATGTAAATGTAGATGATAGAGCTGGACTATAGGGGAAGGTAGATCATAGAGGTGGACTCTAGGGGAAGGTAGATGATAGAGGCGGACTATAGCTCAAGATAAATGATAGAGGTGGGCTATAGGGCATGGTAGATGATAGAGGTGGACTATAGGGCAAGGTAGATGATAGAGGTGGACTATAGGGGAAGGTAGGTGATAGAGGTGGACTACAGGGGAAGGTAGATGATAGAGATTTACTGTAGAGCAAGGTAGATGAAAGAAGTGGACTATAGGGCAAGGTAGATGATAGAGGTGGACTATAGGGCAAGGTAGAGAATAGAGATGGACTGTAGGGGAAGGAAGATGACAGAGGTGGACTATAGGGCAAAATAGATGATAGAGGTGGACTGTTGGGGAAGGTAGATGATAGAGGTGGACTATAGGGGAAGGTAGATGACAGAGGTGGACTGTAGGGGAAGGCAGATGATAGAGGTGGACATTAGGGGAAGGTAGATCATAGAGGTGGACTGTAGGGGAAGGTAGATGATAAGGCATACTCTAGTGCAAGGTAGATGATAGAGGTGGACATTAGGGGAAGGTAGATGATAGAGGTGGACTACAGGGGAAGGTAGATGATAGCGGTTGACTGTAGGGCAAGGTAGAAGATAGAGGTGGACTGTATGGGAAGGTAGATGATGGAGTTGGACATTAGGGGAAGGTATATGATAGAGCTGGACTATAGGGGAAGGTAGATGATAGAGGTGGACTATAGGGTAAGGTAGATGATAGAGGTGGACTTTAGGGGGAAGTAGATTAAAGAAGTGGACTATAAGGCAAGGTAGATAATAGAGGTGGACTATTGAGGTAGGTAGATTATAGAGGTGGACTATAAGGGAAGGAATATAATAGAGGTGGACTATACAGGAAGGTATATGATAGAGATAGACTATAGGGCAAGACAGATGATAGAGGTGGAATATAGAGCAAGGTAGATGTTAGAGGTGGACTATAGGGCAAGGTAGATGATAGAGGTGGACTATAGGGCATGGTAGATGATAGAGGTGGACTATTGGCGTAGGTAGATGATATAGATGGACTATAGGGGAAGGTAGATTATAGAGGTGGACTATAGGGCAAGGTAGATGATATAGATGGACTATAGGGGAAGGTAGATGATAGAGGTGGACTATATGGGTAGGTACAGTCGGAAGTTGACAAACACTTAGGTTGGAGTCATTAAAACTCGTTTTTCAACCACTTCACAAATTTATTTTTAACAAACTATAGTTATGGCAAGTCGGTTAGGACATCTACTTTGTGCAAGACACAAGTCATTTTTCCAACAATTGTTTACAGACAGATTATTTCACTTATAATTCACTGTATCATAATTCCAGTGGGTCAGAAGTTTACATACACTAAGTTGACTGTGCCTTTAAAAAGCTTCGAAAATTTCATAAAATGATGTCATGGCTTTAGAAGCTTCTTGAGTCAATTGGAGGTGTACCTGTGGATGTATTTCAAGGGTACCTTCAAACTCAGTGCCTCTTTGCTTGACATCATGGGAAAATCAAAAGAAATCAAAAAAAAAAATTGTAGACCTCCAAAGGTCTGGTTCATCATTGGGAGCAATTTCCAAACAACTGAAGGTACCACGTTCATCTGTATAAACAATAGTACCCAAGTATAAACGCCATGGGACCACGCAGCCGTCATACCGCTCAGGAAGGAGACGCGTTCTGTCTCTTAGAGATGAACATACTTTGGTGTGAAAAGTGCAAATCAATCCCAGAACAACAGCAAAAGACCTTGTGAAGATGCTGGAGGAAACAGGTACAAAAGTATTTATATCCACAGTAAAACGAGTCCTATATCGACATAACCTGAAAGGCCGCTCAGCAAGGAAGAAGCCACTGCTCCAAAACCGCCATTAAAATGCCAGACTACTGTTTGCAACTGCACATGGGGACAAAGATCGTACTTTTTGGAGAAATGTCTTCTGGTCTGATGAAACAAAAATAGAACTGTTTGGCCATAATGACCAATCGTGGTCCTCTGTAGCTCAGCTGGTAGAGCACGGCGCTTGTAACGCCAAGGTAGTGGGTTCGATCCCCGGGACCACCCATACACAAAAAAAATGTATGCACGCATGACTGTAAGTCGCTTTGGTTAAAAGCGTCTGCTAAATGGCATATTATTATTATTATATGTTTGGAAGAAAAAGGGGGATTCTTGCAAGCGGAAGAACACCATCCCAACCGTGAAGCACAGGGGTGGCAGCATCATGCTGTGGGGGTGCTTTGCTGCAGGAGGGACTGGTGCACTTCACAAAATAGATGGCATCATGAGGAAGGAAAATTATGTGGATATATTGAAGCAACATCTCAAGACATCAGTCAGGAAGTTAAAGCTTGGTCGCAAATGGGTCTTCCAAATGGACAATAACCCCAAGCATACTTCCAAAGTTGTGGCAAAATGGCTTAAGGACAACAAAGTCAAGGTATTGGAGTGGCCATCACAAAGCCCTGACCTCAACCCTATAGAACATTTGTGGGCAGAACTGAAAAAGCGTGTGCGAGCAAGGAGGCCTACAAACCTGACTCAGTTGCACCAGCTCTGTCTGGAGGAATGGGCCAAAATTCACCCAACTTATTGTGGGAAGCTTGTGGAAGGCTACCCGAAACGTTTGACCCAAATTAAACAATTGAAAGGCAATGCTACCAAATACTAATTGAGTGTATGTAAACTTCTGACCCACTGTGAATGTGATGAAATAAATAAAAGCTGAAATAAATCATTCTCTCTACTATTATTCTGATATTTCACATTCTTAAAATAAAGTGGTGATCCTAACTGACCTAAGACAGGGAATTTTTACTAGGATTAAATGTCAGGAATTGTGAAAACTGAGTTTAAATGTATTTGGCTTAGATGTATGTGAACTTCCGACTTCATTTACATTTACATTTTAGTCATTTAGCAGACGCTCTTATCCAGAGCGACTTACAGTTAGTGATTACATATTTATTTTTTTATACTGGCCCCCCGTGGGAATCGAACCCACAACCCTGGCGTTGCAAACGCCATGCTCTATCAACTGAGCTACATCCCTGCCGGCCATTCCCTCCCCTAGACGACGCTGGGCCAATTGTGCGCCGCCCATGAGTCTCCCGGTCGCGGCCGGCTGCGACAGAGCCTGGATTCGAACCAGGATCTCTAGTGGCACAGTTAGCACTGCGATGCAGTGCCTTAGACCACTGCGCCACTCAGGAGCTACAGCTTCAGGAGCTACAGCTTCAACTGTAGATGATAGAGGTGGACAATATGGGAAGGTATGTGAAAGAGGTGGACTGTAGGGGAAGGCATATGCTTGCGGTAAAGGTTGACAGAGACAGATGGATAGAGGTAGAGAAAGAGAGAGAATACAGGCAGAGGAATGGAGGTAGAGACAGGGAGAGAATAGAGGCATAGACACAGAAAGGCAGAGAGAGGTAGAAGCAGAGGCACTAGGCAGAGGATGGCCCCTATACAACAGTTCCTAGAACCATCTAGGAGAGGCAGCTTATTCAAGGAGAGTGGAGGGCCATTCCATTCCTGGAGAACCCCAAAGGGACCATGCTACCTAATGAGGAAAATATGGCCTAAGGCATGTATGCCTTGCCTGCCTGCCTGCCGGATTTCTAAATGATCGAAGGCTATTCCAGGCAACATCACTGCTTCTTAGAAGGACTATCTCAAACACTCGTTGAAGATGCAGGAGTGAAGGGAACCCTCGATATACAGTACAATAAGCATAACAGCACTTAACTGATTCAACACTGGATAATTTACTTTATGGGAATAATGTGAATGATTTGAAAGTAGTCTTAGCTACCTATGTCAAGCGTAAAACTGAAGAATGGGGTTCACTGATAACTCACATAGAAGTACTGTATAAAAAGACTCAATGCAGGAGCCTGTCGTGTAACTACAGTTGAAATCGGAAGTTTACATACACTTAGGTTGGAGTCATTAAAACTCGTTTTTTTTTTTCAGCCACTCCACAAATTTCTTGTTAACAAACTATAGATTTGGCAAGTCGGTTAGGACATCTACTTTGTGCAAGACACAAGTCATTTTTCCAACAATTGTTTACAGACAGATTATTGAACTTATAATTCACTGTATCACAATTCCAGTGGGTCAGAGGTTTACATACACTAAGTTGACTGTGCCTTTAAACAGCTTGGAAAATTCCAGAAAATGATGTCATGGCTTTAGAAGCTTCTGATAGGCTAATTAACATCATTTGAGTCAATTGGAGGTGAACCTGTGGATGTATTTCAAGGCATACCTTCAAACTCAGTGCCTCTTTGCTTGACATCATGGGAAAATCAAAAGAAACCAGCAAAGACCTCAGAAAATAAATTGTAGACCTTCACAAGTCTGGTTCATCATTGGGAGCAATTTCCAAACGTCTGAAGGTACCAAATTCATCTGTACAAACAATAGTACGGAAGTATAAACACCCTGGGACCACGCAGCCGTCATACAGCTCAGGAAGGAGACGCGTTCTGTCTCTTAGAGATGAACGTACTTTGGTACAAAAAGTGCAAATCAATCCCAGAACAACAGCAAAGGACCTTGTGAAGATGCTGGAGGAAACAGGTACAAAAGTATCCATATCCACAGTAAAACGAGTCCTATATCGACATAACCTGAAAGGCCGCTCAGCAAAGAAGAAGCCACTGCTCCAAAATCGCCATAAAAAAGCCAGACTACGGTTTGCAACTGCACATGGGGACAAAGATCATACTTTTTGGAGAAATGTCCTCTGGTCTGATGAAACTAAAATAGAACTGTTTGACCATAATGACCATCGTTATTTTTGGAGGAAAAAGAGGGAGCTTGCAAGCCAAAGAACACCATCCCAACCGTGAAGCACGGGGGTGACAGCATCATGCTGTGGGGGTGCTTTGCTGCAGGAGGGACTGGTGCACTTCACAAAATAGATGGCATCATGAGGAAGGAAAATTATGTGGATATATTGAAGCAACATCTCAAGACATCAGTCAGGAAGTTAAAGCTTGGTCGCAAATGGGTCTTCCAAATGGACAATGACCCCAAGCAAACTTCCAAAGTTGTGGCAAAATGGCTTAAGGACAGCAAAGTCAAGGTATTGGAGTGGCCATCACAAAGCCCTGACCTCAATCCTATAGAAAATGTGTTGGCAGAACTGAAAAAGCAAGGAGGCCTACAAACCTGACTCAGTTACACCAGCTCTGTCAGGAGGAATGGGTCAAAATTCACCCGACTTATTGTGGGAAGCTTGTGGAAGGCTACCCGAAACATTTGACCGAAGTTAAACAATTTAAAGGCAATGCTACCAAATACTAATTGAGTGTATGTAAACGTCTGACCCACTGGGAATGTGATGAAAGAAAGAAAAAGCTGAAATAAATCATTCTCTCTACTATTATTCTGACATTTCACATTCTTAAAATGAAGTGGTGATCCTAACTGACCTAAGACAGGGAATTTTTACTAGGATTAAATGTCAGAAATTGTGAAAAACTGAGTTTAAATGTATTTGGCTAAGGTGTATGTAAACTTCCGACTTCAACTGTATGTCTTTATTCCAAATAACACCCTATTCCCTACATCGTGCACTACTTTTGATCAGGGCCCATAGGGCTCTGGCCAAAAGTAATGCACTATGTAGGGAATTGTATGCCATTTGGTACACATCCTATAACTGTCTTTTCATTTTAAATTGCAGTCCATTAGATCGGATAGTGGTCCGCATCGATTATAACTCAACAGGGTCTACTCTATTGTATGGGAGAGGTTTTCAGTATCCTGTTAACTTATTCATGGTTGGAGACTACCACCCAGCAAACAGGGGACGTCCTGAGGACATTCAGCGATGTTCCCATTAGGTCCCTTAAGGGTTTCTGTGCGTCGTTATCCCAATGAGGTTTTGATAACATTCTTTGAACATTGCGTGATGGTCCCAAGGGAACGTTCTCTGAGGGACATTTGTCTAGTTCCATGTATGTTCCCAGGACGTCACTGAGGACCTTTTTATGACTTTAATTTTACTAGTCCATAGGACGTTGCGTGATGGTCCCAAGGGAATGTTCTTTGGGGGACCTTTTTAATGTTTTTAGGACGTTCCCAGAAGGTCCCCTGAACATTCTTGAGACATTGGGTCATGGTGCCCTGGAGGTTTTGTCTAGTTCCCAGTTTGTCACGTGGTATGCTGTTCAGCTAAACTAGTGTAAAAATCTTTAATCAATGACAATATGTGACATGATCACCTAGTACTGCCATGACCGCACCTGGGAGTTGGGGTATGCTGATATTTCTGATGCACCACAAAGTCAGTGGAATTTCAGAAGTCCCCTACACATTCGCTACCTATAGTACATGTCTGCACTTAGCAAAAGAGTGCCATCTGTAGTGCTATTTTAGTTATGAGTTAATCTGACTATTCTCTCATTGATTTCATTTACTTATTTCAGCTATTTAAGTTTGTTTTTTTGGTATAGTTGTCTAATGTTGGTGGGGCACATTATTCTGTTTTAATGTTCCTCCTGAAGCACTATGATAAATATAATCATTTTTCTTCAGTGTATTTTTAACAGAGCTGAGATTTACTTTGAAGTGCAAAGTGTAGGACTAGGCCTACAGGTAAAATCTGTCATTGACACAGACATCGCCGCGTAGCAGGAACATCAGAATACCATGAACCAAGAGGTTGTGAGTTCAAATCCCAGATGAGGACGTTTCTTAATAATTTATGTTTGGATAATGTAATCGTGTGTGAACTATATAAGTTGAAAAGCTGTGTGTGGTGTCCCATGCATTGCCAAAAGAAAAATAGCTCTGACTGGATCAGTGGTTCATCAATCAGGGCAACAGTAACAAGTAACTAGGTGAAAAATCTGCCGATGTGCCCTTGAGCAAGGCACTTAACCCTAATTGTTCCTGTAAGGCGCTCTGGATAAGAGCCTCTGCTAAATGACTAAAATGAAAAATGAATGCCCTGGGTAAGAAAATATTTGGGGTGGGTAGAACGTTTCTTTGTGACCATCAGGTGACATCCACGGGGCAAACTGGGAACTAGACAAAAACCTCCACGGGACCATGCCACAACATCCCAAAAACGTTCCCCTTGGGACCTTCAGTGGACCATGACACAACACCCCAAGAAAGTCCTAAAAATGTCCTCGGGGATATCCCTGGGACAAACCGGGACCATCACACAATTTCCCAAAAACATCTTTAAAATGTCCTTAGGGACGTCCTCGGGCCCAACCGGGAACTAGACAAAACCTCCAGGGGACCTTGACACGTCATCCCTAGAACGTCCTAAAAACGTCCCTAGGGACATCCCTGGGACCAACCGGGAACTAGACAAAACCTCCAGGGGACCATGACACAACGTCCTGACGACTTTAGGTGACCATTTCGTGACGTCCCAGGGACGTCCTAATGACTCGTTGTTTGCAGGGCAGTTCCTGAGCAGCGGTTTAAAAAAAGTGATGCTTTCAGTAGTACACTTGTTAATGGAGCAACTTGGCAGGTACAGTATCTCCTAGTGTGTGTCATACTGCATGTGTTCATGCTTGTAGGACGTGTGTGTGTGTAGAATAGAATACTATAAAATACAACTTTATTGTTAGAATGGACATTTGTGTTCTGACTTTCCTGACGCCCCTAGATACACACACACACACACACACACACACACACACACACACACACACACACACACACACACACACACACACACACACACACACACAGACCACACACTACACATACACACACACACCACACACACACACACACACACACACGTTGACGGGCACAGGGTCAGCAGCAGTGTAGCGCCCCTGGATAGAGAGCCATTATGAGGGGTTCAGTGCCATGCTCAAGGGCAAAACAGCAGGAGATGGTAAAAAAACATGTTGTTATGATTTTGGAGTAGACCCACAACTTAAACCACAACAAACAGACCCACTACTTAAACCACAACAAGCAGACCCACTACTTAAACCACAACAAGCAGACCCACTACTTAAACCACAACAAGCAGACCCACTACTTAAACCACAACAAGCATACCCACAACTTAAACCACAACAAGCAAACCCACAACTTAAACCACAATAAGCAGACTCACTACTTAAACCACAATAAGCAGAATCACAACTTAAACCCCAACAAGCAGACCCACTACTTAAACCACAACAAGCATATCCACAACTTAAACCACAACAAGCAGACCCACTGCTTAAACCCCAACAAACAGACCCACTGCTTAAACCCCAACAAGCAGACCCACTACTTAAACCACAACAAGCAGACCCACTACTTAAACCACAACAAGCAGACCCACAACTTAAACCACAACCAGCAGACCCACAACTAGGGAAGCCTCATTCTTGTTCTCATATTTTCTGCTGATGCTTCATGTTGTATCTAGTATCACCATAGTATACCACCAGACTGAGAACAGATCTGCACCCTATCTCAACTCTGCTGCCGTGCCTAGTGTGTGTGTGCGTGTGAGTGTTTGTGTGTGTGTGTTTATACAGTAAGTCTGCATCTCCATGTGTGTGAATTACATTACCAATAAAAAAAAGATTATCCCTGCAGATCTGGGAAACACTTGCTTTCCATATAATCGCGTTATGTTCTTAGCCTCTGGAGGATGACTTCTCTGAGGACATTTGACATTTTAGTAATTTAATAATTTAGCAAACACTCTTATCCAGAGCGACATACTGCATTCAACTACAGTAGGTAAAAACAAGCTGTATTTTGAAGGAAGAATCTCAGGAGGAATGAAGCTCAGTCACATTGCCTAGATACTGTCCACACACACACAAGCCTATACACACACACACGCACACGCACACGCACACACACACACACTTTCCTTTACACAAAATGAACCTTTAATGTGTGTGACATGGGGAGCACTTGAATTCCTTTCTTTGTCAGGTTCACAAAATAGGAAAAGCAATTTCCTTCTCAGGTCAGGGGATTGCTTGGGCCTTAAAGGAACAGTTTAGGGAATCACAGAGGCTGCGTCTCAAATGACATCCTATTTTTTATATGGTGCACCACTTTTGACCCAAGCCCTATTGGCCGTGGTCAAAGGTAGTGCACGATATAGGGAATAAGGTGCCATTTCAAACGCCGCCAGAGTTGAAATGGATTAAATTCCACAGAAGCCCGGCTAGTCGGGATAGTCTGCACTACATTCATCATTGCCCTGTTGATCTCAATACGGTGATATTGGCCAGTAAATAGGAGGGTAAGAGGAGCAGTCATAAATTAGGAGTATAAATAAATACGACTTCAATGCCACAAAGGAAAACAAGACCACTTTATATTATTTAGGAAATAATGGGATGTGAATAGGAGATACTTTGGAATTGTGTTTGTGTGTGTGTGTGTCCATTTCAAGTTTCATGGTTATTTGCTATGTGTATGTTCACAATTTAGTTCTTACATTGCACAAGCTCTGACAAATACTGTTAATCAATATCTCAAGTGTGCGTGTGTGCATTTGTGGGAATACATTTATGCATGCCTTTGCGAGACATTTATGAACATACTGTATGTGTTTCATCACAAATTAGATGTTTTCTTAATGTCTGTAGGTCAAATATATCTCTCTCCTTGCAGTAACTCCATTTGACACAGTTCTCCATTGATGCTTTTCTCCATTATGGCGCCACACTCAAGCACTCAGACATCAAATTTCTTGATTTGGTGGCAGTGGCCCACTAAGTTATGACAAATAAAAAATAACTGGTTTGATAATTAGATCGCCAGAAAAATCCAAACATATTGTCCGCATCCAAAATGGCACCCTATGGGCCCTGGTCAAAAATAGTGCACTATATAGGGAATAGGGTGCCATTTGGGATGCAACCCATCATCTGGTCTGTAGTATTAGATTATATGGTTGTTATTTGATTGGATTAAATTCCTCCTCCAGTGAGATAATTAGTCTAGTAGTTCACTGTTTGGGACATCATAATACATACCATGTTGTATCTCTGTGTGTTTTGATCCATTCATTTCAATATTTGGTTCGGAGTACCTGATAACACATAAGTGTAACGTTATTATAACAGAGAGGGTGTCAGCTTATTTTTCAATGTGTTATTGTTGTTTTCAATTATCGATGTTCAGACATAAAAATAAAAAAATAGTTTAGGCTGTCAGGCTACGTTTTGGCCATCATTTTGTTTCCTCCAACACAGCACTGCAGGACGTAAGAGTGGTTGAGTGGCTAGTGCCTTTAGGCCAGATGAGAGACTGATTAGATTCTCCCATGGGTCACTGCTCCAAACACACTGCTGTGCTCTAAACTGCTTTGATCTACTTGATAAATGAATGGCCACAAAACTGTATCTTGTACCTGTGGCAACCCGTCATTCAGGTCAGGTAGGGCAGCTAAAAAATGTTTTTTAGGGTTGCCTGTTTTGCACGTTATTTTGGCATTGTGTTCTGTCACTCATGGGGACACTACATCACTGCAAAATTTAAGGGTAGAGCTCGAACATTCAAGCCCCTTGGGTGCTGCCATAGAGTTACATTACAAGTGCCCATCCAAGAAGGCTCATTGGCCACAGATAAAATGAAGTCAAATCACGTTATATCTACAGTAGCGTTGATTGGACTGATCATGTCAACATCATACTTTCAAAATCTTAGCTAGCAGTCATCATCATGAATGAAGTCGACAATCTACTGGCAAATCCTTTTTGATCCTTGTCATATGAAGAGAAATAATGAAGAGAAATTATAGATAAAACGTATCGGTGCTCATCGGCCATTGGACATAAACATTACACAACAAGTTGGAAATCACATATTCAACAATGAGAGGTTTGGAAGGAATCAGTGGCTAACTGCAAGCATTGCAAAGCAATCACTAGCCTGCTTTTTCAGTGGAGTGGGTGTGTGGTCCCAAGTCTAGGTTTAAGGGTCTCTTACCCAAGCTTAAAATGATAAACATTCAACATTGGCCTCGCTGTCAATTCAGCAAGATTTCTGCCGCGCTCAAAACAACTGTTAACTCAAAACTGGGAAATCTGACTTCAGTGAATTCAAGACAACTGGGAACTCGGGAAAAATGAGCTCCGGTCATCCAACTCAGAACTGTAAGTCGGGAACTCGGGCCTCTTTCTAGAGCTACAACCTGAAGATCACTGATGTCATCATGATTCAACCTTGTTCGACCAGAGTTCCCAGTTGTCTTGAAAGCACAATAAATCCAGAGAATGCCAGACTTTGATGACAAAGTTTGATGACAAAATTTGCCCACGAAGGACCGCCGCGCCACCTTCCTGTTCAAGTGAGCACAGCACAACAATGTGAGTCCAAAAATGTATTGTATGCTGCTGCATAAATTATGTAATATGCCAGGGAGATAAGTATACTGTAGCTAAGAAAGTAATACTAAGTGTATGTTGTGTAGTAAACTGTTAGTAGCCCATGTGCCTCACCCTAATGATTTGGTCTATTTCCCCTCTTAATTTCTTCTACTGTTCTGACTTAGTGGTGAACATGTAGCCTATAACCTGTTTTAGAGAAATGTAATCACTGAATATTGGAAGAGCTTTCATTGTCTGCATATATGCCCCCTTTATTTATCCTTCGGTTCTGATTTGGTGTACAGGGAGAATACTGTAAGAACGGCCCATGTTCTGAATTCTGTCGCTGTACATTGCAAAAGTGCTGAACAAATAGTTATATTGATCCTCTACGGGATCGGTGTCCCGTATACGGGACAGTTGAGCTAATGTGCGCTAATGTGATTAGCATGACTGTTGTAAGTAACAACAAACTGTCCAGGACATAGACATGTCTTGTATGGGCAGAAAGCTTAAATTATTGTTAATCGAACTTCACTGTTGAATTTACAGTAGCTATCACAGTGAAAAAATACCATGCTATTGTTTGAGGAGAGTGCACAACAACAACAAAAATTATCATGGCAACTGGTTTGATACATTCACCTCTGAAGGTAAATCATGTACTTACATTCAGTAATTATGCTCTAATATATCATCCTAAGGGTCCCAAAGATAAAATGTAGCATAGTTTTCTTTGATAAAATCTATTTTTATATTCAAATGTAGGAACTGGGTTCTACAGTTTGAACACTTGCTGTCTCTGTCTCCACACCCACCCCGCCCGGCCATCTAGATGTGAGAAAGTTAGTGTATATGCTAATGATCCATCATGTATGACATTCCTGGGAGTGTGTAAACGTACATTTTGAATTACCATATCATTTTTGTATGTTCTGTATAGTTATGTACTTGAGTGGCGCAGTGGTCTAAGGCACTGCATCGCAGTGCCAACTGTGCCACTAGAGATCCTGGTTCGAATCCAGGCTCTGTCGCAGCCGGCCGCGACCGGGAGACTCATGGGCGGTGCACAATTGGCCCAGAGTCGTCCAGGGTAGGGGAGGGAATGGCCGGCAGGGATGTAGCTCAGTTGATAGAGCATGGCGTTTGCAATGCCAGGGTTGTGGGTTCGATTCCCACGGGGGGCCAGTATAAAAAAAAAATGTATTCACTAACTGTAAGTCGCTCTGGATAAGAGCGTCTGCTAAATGACTAAAAATGTAAAAAAAAAAATGTATCAATTGACCAATTCGGCACATTTGGGCAGACTTCATACAAAATAGTCCAGTATTGCAATGCTTCACTGGATCAATCTGAAACTTTGTGCACACACTGCTGCCATCTTGTGGCTAAAATCTAAATTGCAATATTATATTGTGGCCTTTCTCTTGCAAGATGATGGAACAAAAAAATTAATAGAAAACGGATGTTTTTTTGTTTGTATTATCTTTTACCAGATCTAATGTGTTATATTTTCACAAACTTCAAAGTGTTTCCTTTCAAATGGTATCAAGAATATGCATATCCTTGCTTCAAGTCCTGAGCTACAGGCAGTTAGATTTGGGTATGTCATTTTAGGCGAAAATGGAAAAAAAGGGTCCGATCCTTAAGAAGTTAATGTCTTAATCAAAATTATGGATTGCCTCTTATCCGCTTGTCGTCCCCTTATGCCATAGTTTATACATCTCAATTGTCAGTAGAAACCACATTTGTTTAAGCAAGTCAGCCATATCACCTGTGTTTCTTTAAAAGGCAGTAAATGAGGCTGAATGAACTGTTTCGCTGCCAGACACAGCTCCGCTGATAGCCAGGTGTAGCAGTGGTGAAGGTGTTGGGACTGCTGTTGGGACTCTGCTGTTGGGACAGCTTTATGTGGGCACCGTTTGTCACCATTATAGTGCAGTTAATGTATTGTTTAGTGTTGTGTAGTGTAGTGGATTTGCTGGTATACATCCCCATTTTTTGAGGGGGGTTTGCCCCACCAAGATTTACATGCTAAAATCTCCAGTGCTTGTATCCCTCTCCTTCCTCCCTCCTCTCTCGCCTCTCCCTTCCTTCCTTCCTTCCTTCCTTCCTTCCTTCCTTCCTTCCTTCCTTCCTTCCTTCCTTCCTTCCTTCCTTCCTTCCTTCCTTCCTTCCTTCCTTCCTTCCTTCCTTCCTTCCTTCCTTCCTTCCTTCCTTCCTTCCTTCCTCCTCTCTCGCCTCTCCCTTCCTTCCTTCCTTCCTCCCTCCCTCCCTCCCCCTTCTTTTCAAATCCCCCACACTGTATTCACCTAGCCTCACCCCATCCTTCTCTGGTCTTTTCCCTATACAGTATAGTGCACTAAATAGGGAGAAAGGTGCCATTTGGGACGCAGTCCAACTCTGCTGGAAAACCCTTGATCAAACTGTTTAATGAAGTGAAAGACAAGAAATCTATAAGCGCCTGAACAGTAAACCCTGATAGTCGTTCATCATCCATACAGGATGGCTGCTTGGCACACACACAGATACACACACGCATACACACACAGAGATACACACACACAGATACACACACGCATACACACACAGATACACACACACAGATACACACACGCATACACACAAACGTATACACACACACACTCATGAATGCGCACACAGAAGCATAAACACACAAATGCACACACACACGTGCACACACACACACACACGCACACACACTCACAGACACACACACTATTGTACTAGTGCAATTACTGTATACATTGTGCAGTATTTACCACTGTGTTCAATGTTTTCTCTTGTCTTTACACATTCCTTATATTTTATAAACAGCTGTATTACGTAACTGCATAGCAACAAAGGGTTACCATGATACATATCAAGGCGATTTCTCTGACATGTCTCTCTGGCATAGCTTCGTTGTAAGGTCGCCTACGCATCGCTGTAAGGGAGAGAGCCGCCTTGTGTACTTTAACTCAAGATGTTGGTTTCAAGTGAACACTATTTTTCTCCATTTTATAAAATGGTCTTCTTCATTGTACAATACAATACATATTCAGTGCATTCTGAATGAACAGCTTTTGCCACTCTGCATAGAAGCAAACTCGCTGAGCAATTCAAGCTAAGCACATTTCATTAGTAAACAGTATCCATTCATGTTGACACACACACACACACACACACACACACACACACACACACACACACACACACACACACACACACACACACACACACACACACACACACACACACACACACACACACACACACACACACACACACACACACACACACACACACACACACACACACACACACACACACAAGTATATAGGGAATGCTATGTCAGACACTGCCAATAAGGATTGGTCCAGCATCTCTGAATGGCATATAATGTGTGTTTCCTGCATGACATTACCAAGATCAAGGTAAGACTTAATTCTTGTTAAAAATACATTATTCATTAAGACTGAGGAGCCCAATTACACACACATACACACTCACACACACACACACACACACACACACACACACACACACACACACACACACACACACACACACACACACACACACACACACACACACACACACACACACACACACACACACACACACCAGTTAGGTATTTGCATTACACATAGTGGTTAGAGAGTCCCTCAAGGCAACAACTCACATCCAAGGTTCTGTCCCAAATGTCTCCCTATTCCCTATTTAGTGCACTACTTTTGACCAGGAGAGTGAAAGGGAGAGGAGAGGGGTAACCAATCTTTTGTGTTTCTGAGAGTGAGCCTATTGTATTCTCTAAGATGATCTTCCCTGATCTACTGACCCAGTGTGTGTGTGTGTGTGTGTGTGTGTGCGTGCGTGCGTGCGTGTGTGCGTGCGTGTGTGTGTGTGTCTCTGTCTTCACTTGCGTGTGTCTTCTATCTAAAAGGTATTTCTCTTGTTGTGGGAGGGGAGTCTGCTGGGACCACTAGACTGACCTGAAGAGGAGAGAGAAGGGGAAATAGGTCAAGAGGAATTGAAGGACAGCAGCTGTCATTGTGTAGCCTGGATGGCTATGAGGAGAATAGAGGGTTCATGGGGGAACAGAGAAGCCTTGCCTTGCTTGGATAGAGATGGAAAAAGGCCTAATATTACATACAATATATAGATACAGAGACCCTTCCATGTAAGAGTTGTGTTCACTGTTCTGTCCGACAAAACATTCAAGGGGACACTCACAATCAAAGGACCCCTATTAGCGGCAGAGGCTGCTAACAGTACCAACCCGTGGAGACAGAACAGGTAGAGGAACCCAATTACTGAGGTAAAGGATGCTACCTACCCCTCTAACACAGAGACAAAATGTGTAGGCTATTTGGCATCAGGCTTGGGAGACATACATCTATTCACTGTTCAACAACACATTCTAGGGGACAGGGACTGACATAGGACCCTCACTACTGAGAGAGGCTGCTAATACCTACATGTACCCGAGAATCACATAGAGACAGAATTGATAGGATACTTGGCATTAGGCTTGGGAGACATACACATCTCAACTACACGTCTTGTACTTAGTAGACCCATAGGGATACTGTAGAAAGGGAAAATCAACATAGGATTACATATCCACTATTGAGTTTTCATCTGGTTTATAATTGGATGTCTACAAAAACCCAATGACAATTGCCTTGCTATCAGCTTAAGTAGCTACGAATATCACCATGGCTGGCAGTTAGCCTAGAGGTTAAGTGTGTTGGGCCAGTAACCAAGAGGTTGCTGGTTTGAATCCTTCAGCCGACTAGATTAATAATTGATCAATGTGCCCTTGAGCAAGGCATTTATCCCTGGATAAGAGCATCTGCTGAAAATGTCAGGACTCTACTTTATGTGGAACATACTTTGTTGTCAAACATCGTTTGAGTAAATATATTACCATGGTCCAGATTTTGTGTTTGCAAGGGGGTGAAAAAATGTGTTGCAGGCTATTTGGTTAGCATTTGAAATCCATGTTTACATCGGATTCCTCTACATGCTAATGCCTTTTCTATATGTCCTCATTCGGGTCATTAACGTAAGTACGATTCAATACCATCAGTAGGACCATCGAGGCTACTAATACTATACATACATACGTGCGTACATACATACATACATACATACGTACAAACCATACATATATACATACATACATACAGTACATAGGACCATCGAGGCTACTAATACTATACATACATAGATACACACATAGATACATAGATACATACATGTGGCCAGTCTCATTTTGTTACACACAGACACATACACACTCACACACAAACACACATACTCACACACGCACACTCTTTAAACAGACACAGGCAGGCAAATACGCACATACAGTGGGGAAAAAAAGTATTTAGTCAGCCACCAATTGTGCAAGTTCTCCCACTTAAAAAGATGAGAGAGGCCTGTAATTTTCATCATAGGTACACGTCAACTATGACAGACAAATTGAGAAAAAGAAATCCAGAAAAATCACATTGTAGGATTTTTAATGAATTTATTTGCAAATTATGGTGGAAAATAAGTATTTGGTCACCTACAAACAAGCAAGATTTATGGCTCTCACAGACCTGTAACTTCTTCTTTAAGAGGCTCCTCTGTCCTCCACTCGTTACCTGTATTAATGGCACCTGTTTGAACTTGTTATCAGTATAAAAGACACCTGTCCACAACCTCAAACAGTCACACTCCAAACTTCACTATGGCCAAGACCAAAGAGCTGTCAAAGGACACCAGAAACAAAATTGTAGACCTGCACCAGGCTGGGAAGACTGAATCTGCAATAGGTAAGCAGCTTGGTTTGAAGAAATCAACTGTGGGAGCAATTATTAGGAAATGGAAGACATACAAGACCACTGATAATCTCCCTCGATCTGGGGCTCCACGCAAGATCTCACCCCGTGGGGTCAAAATGATCACAAGAACGGTGAGCAAAAATCCCAGAACCACACGGAGGGACCTAGTGAATTTTTTATTTTTTTTATTTCACCTTTATTTAACCAGGTAAGCCAGTTGAGAACAAGTTCTCATTTACAACTGCGACCTGTCCAAGATAAAGCAAAGCAGTGCGATAAAAACAACAACACAGAGTTACATATGGGTCATAAAATCCAACAGAAAATATAGATACAGTGTGTGCAAATGTAGCAAGTTATGGAGGTAAGGCAATAAATAAGCTATAGTGCAAAATAATTACAATTAGTATTAACACTGGAATGCTAGATGTGCAAGAGATCATGTGCAAATAGAGATACTGGGGTGCAAAAGAGCAAAATAAATAACAATATAGGGATGAGGTAGTTGGGTGGGCTAATTTCAGATGGGCTGTGTACATGTGCAGTGATCGGTAAGGTGCTCTGACAACTGATGCTTAAAGTTAGTGAGGGAGATACGAGTCTCCAGCTTCAGATATTTTTGCAATTCGTTCCAGTCATTGGCAGCAGAGAACTGGAAGGAATGGCGGCCAAAGGAGGTGTTGGCTTTGGGAATGACCAGTGAGATATACCTGCTGGAGCGCAGACTACGGGTGGGTGCTGCTATGGTGACCAATGAGCTAAGATAAGGCGGGGATTTGCCTAGCAGTGATTTATAGATGGCCTGGAGCCAGTGGGTTTGACGACGAACATGTAGTGAGGACCAGCCAACAAGAGCGTACAGGTCACAGTGGTGGGTAGTGTATGGGGCTTTGGAGACAAAACGGATGGCACTGTGATAGACTACATCCAATTTGCTGAGTAGAGTGTTGGAGGCTATTTTGTAAATGACATCGCCGAAGTCAAGGATCGGTAGGATAGTCAGTTTTACGAGGGCATGTTTGGCAGCATGAGTGAAGGAGGCTTTGTTGCGAAATAGGAAGCCGATTCTAGATTTAACTTTGGATTGGAGATTCTTAATGTGAGTCTGGAAGGAGAGTTTACAGTCTAACCAGACACCTAGGTATTTGTAGTTGTCCACATACTCTAGGTCAGACCCGTCGAGAGTGGTGATTCTAGTCGGGTGGGCGGGTGCCAGCAGCGTTCGATTGAAGAGCATGCATTTAGTTTTACTAGTGTTTAAGAGCAGTTGGAGGCTACTGAAGGAGTGTTGTATGGCATTGAAGCTCGTTTGGAGGTTTGTTAACACAGTGTCCAATGAAGGGCCAGATGTATACAAAATGGTGTCGTCTGCGTAGAGGTGGATCTGAGAGTCACCAGCAGCAAGAGCGACATCATTGATATACACGGAGAAAAGAGTCGGCCCAAGAATTGAACCCCGTGGCACCCCCATAGAGACTGCCATAGGTCCAGACAACAGGCCCTCCGATTTCACACATTGAACTCTATCTGAGAAGTAGTTGGTGAACCAGGCGAGGCAGTCATTTGAGAAACCAAGGCTATTTAGTCTGCCAATAAGAATGCGGTGGTTGACAGAGTCGAAAGCCTTGGCCAGGTCGATGAAGACGGCTGCACAGTACTGTCTATTATCGATCGCGGTTATAATATCGTTTAGGACCTTGAGCGTGGCTGAAGTGCACCCATGACCAGCTCGGAAACCGGATTGCATAGCGGAGAAGGTACGGTGGGATTCGAAATGGTTGGTTATCTGTTTGTTAACTTGGCTTTCAAATACTTTCGAAAGGCAGGGCAGGATGGATATAGGTCTGTAACAGTTTGGATCTAGAGTGTCACCCCCTTTGAAGAGGGGGATGACCGCGGCAGCTTTCCAATCTCTGGGGATCTCAGACGTTACGAAAGAGAGGTTGAACAGGCTAGCAATAGGGGTTGCGACAATTTCTGCGGCTAGTTTTAGAAAGAAAGGGTCCAGATTGTCTAGCCCAGCTGATTTGTAGGGGTCCAGATTTTGCAGCTCTTTCAGAACATCAGCTGTCTGAATTTGTGTGAAGGAGAAGCGGGGGGGGGCATGGGCAAGTTGCAAGGGTGCAGAGTTGGTGGCCGGGGTAGTGGTAGCCAGGTGGAAAGCATGGCCAGCCGTAGCAAAATGCTTGTTGAAATTCTCGATTATTGTAGATTTATCGGTGGTGATAGTGTTTCCTAGCCTCAGTGCAGTGGGCAGCTGGGAGGAAGTGCTCTTATTCTCCATGGACTTTACAGTGTCCCAACACTTTTTGGAGTTAGTGCTACAGGATGCAAATTTCTGTTTGAAAAAGTTAGCCTTTGCTTTCTTGACTGCTTGTGTATATTGGTTCCTAACTTGAACCCTGAAAAGTTGCATATCACGGGGGCTATTTGATGCTAATGCAGTACGCCACAGGATGTTTTTGTGCTGGTCAAGGGCAGTCAAGTCTGAGGAGAACCAGGGGCTATATCTGTTCTTAGTTCTGTTTTTTTTAAATGGGGCATGTTTATTTAAGATTGAGAGGAAATTACTTTTAAAGAACAACCAGGCATCCTCTACTGACGGAATGAGATCTATATCCATCCAGGATACCTGGGCCAGGTCAATTAGGAAGGCCTGCTCGCTAAAGTGTTTTAGGGAGCGTTTGACAGTGATGAGGGGTGGTCGCTTGACCGCGGACCCGTTACGGACGCAGGCAATAAGGCAGTGATCGCTGAGATCCTGGTTGAAGACAGCGGAGGTGTATTTAGAGGGTAAGTTAGTCAGGATGATATCTATGAGGGTACGCATGTTTACGGATTTAGGGTTGTACCTGGTAGGTTCGTTGATAATTTGTGTGAGATTGAGGGCATCTAGTTTGGATTGTAGGATGGCCGGGGTGTTAAGCATATCCCAATTTAGGTCACCAAGCAGTACGAACTCTGAGGATAAATGGGGGGCAATCAATTCACAATGACCTGCAGAGAGCTGGGACCAAAGTAACAAAGCCTACCATCAGTAACACACTACGCCGCCAGGGACTCAAATCCTGCAGTGCCAGACGTGTCCCCCTGCTTAAGCCAGTACATGTCCAGGCCCGTCTGAAGTTTGCTAGAGTGCATTTGGATGATCCAGAAGAGGATTGGGAGAATGTCATATGGTCAGATGAAACCAAAATAGAACTTTTTGGTAAAAACTCAACTCGTCGTGTTTGGAGGACAAAGAATGCTGAGTTGCATCCAAAGAACACCATACCTACTGTGAAGCATGGGGTTGGAAACATCATGCTTTGGGGCTGTTTTTCTGCAAAGGGACCAGGACGACTGATCCGTGTAAAGGAAAGAATGAATGGGGCCATGTATCGTGAGATTTTGAGTGAAAACCTCTTTCCATCAGCAAGGGCATTGAAGATGAAACGTGGCTGGGTCTTTCAGCATGACAATGATCCCAAACACACCGCCCGGGCAACGAAGGAGTGGCTTCGTAAGAAGCATTTCAAGGTCCTGGAGTGGCCTAGCCAGTCTCCAGATCTCAACCCCATAGAAAATCTTTGGAAGGAGTTGAAAGTCTGTGTTGCCCAGCGACAGCCCCAAAACATCACTGCTCTAGAGGAGATCTGCATGGAGGAATGGGCCAAAATACCAGCAACAGTGTGTGAAAACCTTGTGAAGACTTACAGAAAACGTTTGACCTGTGTCATTGCCAACAAAGGGTATACAACAAAGTATTGAGAAACTTTTGTTATTGACCAAATACATATTTTCCACCATAATTTGCAAATAAATTCATTAAAAATCCTACAATGTGATTTTCTGGATTTTTTTTCTCATTTTGTCTGTCATAGTTGACGTGTACCTATGATGAAAATTACAGGCCTCTCTCATCTTTTTAAGTGGGAGAACTTGCACAATTGGTGGCTGACTAAATACTTTTTTCTCCCACTGTATAGTCATGAGGAGGGGCACAAGAATCGTGCACATGCACGCAGGCAGGCAGACACACACACACTACCACCCAATTTCATTAATTTCCCTGAATTCAATCTCAGAGTTTGCAAACTCCTCTTCTCTCTCTACTAATCTAATAACTGTAATGATGCAGATTCCCTAAATCCAATCAGTTCTAATCTAGAAGAGACAGAAGTTCACAATGGGGAGAGCAATAGAAAATATATCCCAGCTGGCTGACTGGCTGGGTGGAGGAGAAACTGATACTAAGGCTACGTCTCAAATGGTACCCTATTCTCTACATAGGGGTCTACAAAATCAAACAATTTCAAAGGGTCTGTTGGTGAGGCCTCTGTTTGACAAGCTGACCAAACAGTGTAGACAAATTCTGCTGAGCTGGGTTTGGCACTTTCCCTCCCCATCCCTCCCCTCCATACCTCCTCTGACTATCCTCCTCTTTTATCTGCTCCCTTGCTTCCCTCCTCCCTCCCCTTCTATGGTAGGATGAGAGGAGGGTTTTTTACACCTTTGACGTCTGCCCCCCTCTCCTCTCCTCTCCTCTCCTCTCCTCTCCTCTCCTCTCCTCTCCTCTCCTCTCCTCTCCTCTCCTCTCCTCTCCTCTCCTCTCCTCTCCTTTCCTCCCCTCTCCTCCCCATCCCTTCCCTCCCCTCCTCTACCCCTCCCTCACTCCCTCCTCACCCAGGGTCACATGTGTTGGGTACAGACAGACACTGCAGGCAGGATCCTCCAGCACCTCCAGCACCTCCAGCACCATCTGTCCACTGCAGAGAGACAGATATGAAAGGAGATGACATCAACTATAACACAAAGATCAGTCATTGAACAGGGGCCATTAAAAAAAAAAATCCCCATTATGTCTGTCTGTCTGTCTGTCTGTCTGTCTGTCTGTCTGTCTGTCTGTCTGTCTGTCTGTCTGTCTGTCTGTCTGTCTGTCTGTCTGTCTGTCTGTCTGTCTGTCTGTCTGTCTGTCTGTCTGTCTGTCTGTCTGTCTGTCTGTCTGTCTGTCTGTCTGTCTGCCTGCCTGTCTGCCTGCCTGCCTGCCTGCCTTTCTTCATGTCTGTCTGTCTGCCTGCCTGCCTGCCTGCCTGCCTGCCTGCCTGCCTGCCTGCCTTTCACCTTTATTTAACCAGGTAAGCCAGTTGAGAACAGGTTCTCATTTACAACTGCGACCTGGCCAAGATAAAGCAAAGTAGTGCAATAAAAACAACACAGAGTTACATATGGGGTAAAAAAAACATAAAGTCAGAAATACAACAGAAAATATATATACAGTGTGTGCAAATGTAGCAAGTTATGGAGGTAAGGCAATAAATAGGCTATAGTGCAGAATAATTACAATAGTATTAACACTGGAATGCTAGATGTGCAAGAGATGATGTGCAAATAGAGATACTGGGGTGCAAAAGAGCAAAATAAATAACAATATAGGGATGAGGTAGTTGGGTGGGCTACCTCATCCCTGCCAGTCTGTCTGTCTCGAAGCTTCATCACAACAAACACCCAATAATTTAAATCAACCACAACCTCTTGGCCCCAATTTACCACAACACACACACACACACACACTACAAACCACACTTCCAAAGACCCTCTGAATATTGTGTGTGATTCTATTGGAGAGGTGTGAAATGGACCCTCTCTCCGCTGAAGGAAATCATGTGAAATGGACCCTCTCTCAGCTGAAGGAAATCTCTAACACCTTTCCTATGGGCTATGGCACACTCATGCATATACAGGCACACATACACACATACAGTGAGGGAAAAAAGTATTTGATCCCCTGCTTATTTTGTACGTTTGCCCACTGACAAAGAAATGATCAGTCTATAATTTTAATGGTAGGTTTATCTGAACAGTGAGAGACAGAATAAAAACAAAACAATCCAGAAAAACGCATGTCAAAAATGTTATAAATTGATTTGCATTTTAATGAAGTAAATAAGTATTTGACCCCCTCGCAATCAGAAAGATTTCTGGCTCCCAGGTGTCTTTTATACAGGTAACGAGCTGAGATTAGGAGCACACTCTTAAAGGGAGTGCTCCTAATCTCAGTTTGTTACCTGTATAAAAGACACCTGTCCACAGAAGCAATCAATCAATCAGATTCCAAACTCTCCACCATGGCCAAGACCAAAGAGCTCTCCAAGGATGTCAGGGACAAGATTGTAGACCTACACAAGGCTGGAATGGGCTACAAGACCATCGCCAAGCAGCTTGGTGAGAAGGTGACAACAGTTGGTGCGATTATTCGCAAATGGAAGAAACACAAAAGACCTGTCAATCTCCCTCGGCCTGGGGCTCCATGCAAGATCTCACCTCGTGGAGTTGCAATGATCATGAGAACGGTGAGGAATCAACCCAGAACTACGCGAGAGGATCTTGTCAATGATCTCAAGGCAGCTAGGACCATAGTCACCAAGAAAACAATTGGTAACACACTACGCCGTGAAGTACTGAAATCCTGCAGCGCCCGCAAGGTCCCCCTGCTCAAGAAAGCACAAATACATGCCCGTCTGAATTTTGCCAATTAACATCTGAATTATTCAGAGGAGAACTGGGTGAAAGTGTTGTGGTCAGATGAGACCAAAATGGAGCTCTTTGACATCTACTCAACTCGCCGTGTTTGGAGGAGGAGGAATGCTGCCTATGACCCCAAGAACAACATCCCTACCTTCAAACATGGAGGTGGAAACATTATGCTTTGGGGTTGTTTTTCTGCTAAGGGGACAGGACAACTTCACCGCATCAAAGGGACGATGGACGGGGCCATGTACCGTCAAATCTTGGGTAAGAACCTCCATCCCTCAGCCAGGGCATTGAAAATGGGTCGTGGATGGGTATTCCAGCATGACAATGACCCAAAACATACGGCCAAGGCAACAAAGGAGTGGCTCAAGAAGAAGCACATTAAGGTCCTGGAGTGGCCTAGCCAGTCTCCAGACCTTAATCCCATAGAAAATCTGTGGAGTGAGCTGAAGGTTCGAGTTGCCAAACGTCAGCCTCGAAACCTTAATGACTTGGAGAAGATCTGCAAAGAGGAGTGGGACAAAATCCCTCCTGAGATGTGTGCAAACCTGGTGGCCAACTACAAGAAACGTCTGACCTCTGTGATTGCCAACAAGGGTTTTGCCACCAAGTACTAAGTCATGTTTTGCAGAGGGGTCAAATACTTATTTCCCTCATTAAAATGCAAATCAATTTATAACGTGTTTTTCTGGATTTTTTTGTTGGTATTCTGTCTCTCACTGTTCAAATAAACCTATCATTAAAATTATAGACTGATCATTTATTTGTCAGTGGGCAAACGTACAAAATCAGCAGGGGATCAAATATGTGCGTACATGCGTGTGTGTTTATGTATCTCCGTGCCTGTGTATGCGTGTTCATGTGTGTGTGTGTGTGTGTGTGTGTGTGTGTGTTTGTGTGTGTGTGTGTGTATGAGGGATGAGCCTGGGCAGCAGCCGATGAGGGATCTCAGTCCCATCTGATTAGTGCATCGCTCATCCTGTCACAGTTTATAGAAAGCAGCAATATGGGAGAGTTGATAAGATGCTACGCTGCTTCTCTTTCAGCTACACAAACACAATGCAATGCAACGTCGATGGATCTTCCCCAGCCAGGCCTTACATGCATGCAAGGTTTGTTGTCTCCACAAACACACACACACACACACACACACACACACACACACACACACAGATACAGTCACCAGATAAGCATATTTTGCCTGCGATGATAATTTACACTTTCAGGGTGAGATTCCAATGGGAGATTTACACAATATAAATGTGTTAGGATTCTCTGGCCCAAAGTCATTCAACACAAAGCCATTGTAGTTAAACTATTGCATTCAAGTGCATTGATTCTTGGTTAAGAACATTTAATGCACACTCATATTGAGCTATATTAGCTGTTGATAATTTTACCAAGTTCTCTCTCCTATCAGCATTCCTATATTGTACTTACGGCTGCCATAAAGGCCAGTTGACTCTCTTGGCTCAGGCTTCATCCAGTGTGTATCTGGGACTAGATAACTAGTAACCTTGACGCCAGCTGGTCTCCTACTGCTTGCATCTCTGATATAAGCAGCTCTAACATAATGGCCTTCAAAGGCTTCTGTACTTTACATTTGATATCTTTAAGGTGGTCCTACTACTATAACATAATGACTTTCATAGGCTACTGTACTTTATATGTTATATCTTTAAGGTGGTCTTACAACTTGTGACAATGCGAATTAACCTCGGCCTCGCACAGACAGTGTAGACATTTGTTTCAATTGCGTGGGAATAATTTCATGATAGAAAGACAAGAAGACATGCACGCTGCTCTTGCCATGGTCTCTCGCCCTTCTGTTCACCCTTATTGCATTCATTTGACTGTCCACCTGCTGCCAAGTTTATTCTTAAATGTTACATATTAGGCTCTAGGATACTTAAGCAATAAGGCCTGAGGCTGTGTGGTATATCAGACTGTATACCATGGGTATGACAAAACATTTATTTTTACTGCTCTAATTACGTTGGTAACCAGTTTATAATAGCACCTCAGGGTGTTTGTGGTATATGGCCAATATACCACGGCTAAGGGCTGTTCTTATGCAGGACGCAAAGCGGAGTGCCTGGATACAGCCCTTAGCAGTGGTATTTTGGCCATATACAGTGGGGGAAAAAAGTATTTAGTCAGCCACCAATTGTGCAAGTTCTCCCACTTAAAAAGATGAGAGAGGCCTGTAATTTTCATCATAGGTACACGTCAACTATGACAGACAAAATGAGAAAAAAAAATCCAGAAAATCACATTGTAGAATTTTTAATGAATTTATTTGCAAATTAAGGTGGAAAATAAGTATTTGGTCAATAACAAAAGTTTCTCAATACTTTGTTGTATACCCTTTGTTAGCAATGACACAGGTCAAACGTTTTCTGTAAGTCTTCACAAGGTTTTCACACACTGTTGCTGGTATTTTGGCCCATTCCTCCATGCAGATCTCCTCTAGAGCAGTGATGTTTTGGGGCTGTCGCTGGGCAACACTGACTTTCAACTCCCTCCAAAGATTTTCTATGGGGTTGAGATCTGGAGACTGGCTAGGCCACTCCAGGACCTTGAAATAATTCTTACGAAGCCACTCCTTCGTTGCCCGGGCGGTGTGTTTGGGATCATTGTCATGCTGAAAGACCCAGCCACGTTTCATCTTCAATGCCCTTGCTGATGGAAGGAGGTTTTCACTCAAAATCTCACGATACATGGCCCCATTCATTCTTTCCTTTACACGGATCAGTGGTCCTTTTTGCAGAAAAACTGCCCCAAAGCATGATGTTTCCACCCCCATGCTTCACAGTAGGTATGGTGTTCTTTGGATGCAACTCAGCATTCTTTGTCCTCCAAACACGACGAGTTGAGTTTTTACCAAAAAGTTCTATTTTGGTTTCATCTGACCATATGACATTATCCCAATCCTCTTCTGGATCATCCAAATGCACTCTAGCAAACTTCAGACGGGCCTGGACATGTACTGGCTTAAGCAGGGGGACACGTCTGGCACTGCAGGATTTGAGTCCCTGGCGGCGTAGTGTGTTACTGATGGTAGGCTTTGTTACTTTGGTCCCAGCTCTCTGCAGGTCATTCACTAGGT